CAGCAACCAGCAACCAGCAACCAGCAACCAGCAACCAGCAACCAGCAACCAGCAGCAGCAGCAACCAGCAGCAGCAGCAACCAGCAGCAACCAGCAGCAGCAGCAACCAGCAGCAACCAGCAGCAGCAGCAACCAGCAGCAGCAGCAGCAACAGCGGCAGCAGCAGCAGCAACAGCGGCAGCAGCAGCAGCAGCGGCGGCGGCGGCAGCAGCAGCAGCAGCAACCAGCAGCAGCAGCATCCAGCAACCAGCAACCAGCAGCAGCAGCAGCAACAACCAGCAGCAAGCAGCAGCAACCAGCAGCAGCAGCAGCAGCAGCAACCAGCAACCAGCAACCAGCAGCAGCAGCAGCAGCACCAGCACCAGCAGCAGCACCAGCAGCGGCAACCAGCAGCAGCAAGCAGCAGCAGCAACCAGCAACCAGCAGCAGCAACCAGCAGCAGACATGCTACCTTTCGTCCACCCCCGTCTCCTCAAGTGTTTCATGATCTTCTTCTCCTAGTGTGGAGAGCAAAGATTCCCATGCAGGTTGTGACATGATTCGCTATATGATGCCACTCCAGCAAGATGCGGATGCTTGCTGGAGGGTTTGGTTCTTTGAGATGTTCCTCGAAGTTCTTCTTTGGGCCCACCTTAGCATTAGCATACGCCATACGCTTTGACAGGAACTCAGGAACCCGTCCAAACAGCTTCCCATCAGTCTCCAAAAGCCCAGCATCCAATCAGCTGCCTTTGGTCATGGCCACAGCCCAAAAGCACCTTCAGAAAAGACCCAGAGCCAGATCTTGCCACTAGCCCAGCAAGCAAAAATAGAAAACAACTAGCGTCATTCCCTTTGGCAGCAGCACCCTCCGGAAGCAGCAGCTTGTACCGGATGTGGACCTGGGCTCAGGTCGGTCCGAGATACAACAATATGACGCAGCATCGACCATATATTCGGTGATATTATGTCTCATTGGCACAAACATAGACCATAGAATACCAAAGACCTGTATAAATAGATATAGTATAACCGCGTATAATAGTTATACAGTCACTTTCATGCAACAGTTGTTGTTTTTAAACATATGCTTCCATATTCCATCCACTTACCGCGTCAGATAGCAATGAGGAATGGCACAAGAAACAAATGATTGGTATTATTACATGCCTGAGAGACAGACAGTGTACGACATTGTACGACCGTGCTACACTCACAGGACAGTTTGTCCCGTTTGACGAGAACAGATCTCTTCGAGTTGGCAATATGAATACAGTCAATCTTCAAGTCAGTTCATATTGAGCAAACCGACCTGGACAAAGCACGACATGTGCATTGTCCCTGGTTTCTGACATTTGCCAGAGTTGATTTGGTAGAGCCAGCCATGCATCCGCCAAATCCGGTGACGGCCAAGCAGCACCAGAGCACCAGGGCTATGGATTACTTAAGAAAGGATCATTGTTTAACTCAGGCTTTGTGTTTTATGTGTGTTAGTGGTCATGCCATGTCGTTTTGCACGTTTGCCACCCAGAGCCTTGTTCCACCTGGTTATGCCACTCGTTCTCTTCACCGCCCACAGAGGTGAGAACGAGGCGTGAAGATGGCTTGGGTGACTTGGGATTTGCTTAATGCTGCTAAGAGGCTCAGCGGTCAGCGGATACAGCGGTCTTGTGTTTGGACGTGTTTTGAATTCTGCAAAGTCTTGAAATCTTGCAACTACAAATGCTAGAGGTTTTGTTGGATCCTTGTCATGGACAACATCTATGATAGCATAACATATGATAACGCAAGTCAAAACATGCTTAAGATTGCTGCAACTGCAAGCTGCGTGCATACTGGAGAGCTGTGGACCCCACCCGCTCAACCACCCAGGTGAACAACAACAAGCGCAACGCCCGCTTCAATCCCAATCGCCGCGACGACCGGCTGCTGGATGCGGAGGTGACCGCGCGACGGCAAGCACCGGTAAAGCCGCAGAAGGACGAGTCGGAGAGTGAAGAGTTAATCAACACTGAGCCAGAGTTGCTTAACTCAAATTAATCAATAAAGCTTAAGCTTTAATCAATTCCAACCCTATCCAGATCCTTTCCAACATGGATCTGGGTCTTGAAGACTATATTGTACTATGTTGTGCTTCACTGCTGTTGGTTCATTCACACATGGACGCCCAACCAGCACCGCAGCATTTTTCCCCATAGCTCATCCAGCGTCGCGTCGCTGGGATGCCCCGAGTCTTGGATGCAAATCAGCCGTCTTTAAACGGCTTCAAGAAGAAAGCCATGGCAGGATCTTGGGGATCCTCATTGGCTTCAATGTACCTGAGCCATGATAAATGTGTCGGGATTGGGAATTCTTGAGGATATGTGCATGCACACCCAACACGAAACATAAAATAAGACAATCCAAGGTGCTGTTTCCGCGCATTCCAAGCAAACTCTGCACTGTCCACCTTTGTTTTTCCCATGGACTTTGCTTTCTTCCATGCGGTTGAATATACCTTAGCAGTCCAGTCTGGAGCTGTTGAGTGAGAGTTTCACTGTGGCTTTACAGTTTTGCATGATGTTTCTGGTTCAGATAAGTGGCACTGTGCAACTTCTTCTCGAGTGGTCCTTTCCGCTTGTTGTCCTCGCTCTTGGCTGCGGCTTTGGCGGCGGGTTTGGCCTTGGCCTGTCGTGGCGCCTTAGCTGGCTTGGAGTGACCAGTCTTGGCATTTTTCTTGGAACTTTTGCCCTTAGCCTTAGCCTTACCCTTGGGCCTAGGCCTGGACGGTCTAGCCTTGGCCTTGGGTGTCAACTCCATGGGCCCTGGCTCTGCATGTGGTGACGGTTCTGGGGATGACATCACAGGCTCACTCTTTGGTGTCTCTGTAAGATCGATTCCTTGCATCCCAGGGCCATCCGCAGGTGAAGGAATCTTTTCTTCTTGATCTTCTCCTGCTGTGGCTGTTCCAAGCTCTGGGCCAATCTCTGTGTGTTGGTCATCAGTGGCTGGAGTGTTCCCAAATGCACGAAAGAGCGACTGCCGGTTGAGCTCACGCTCGCAAGCCTCAAGGGTGGCTCTCACACCATGCTCTGTGTCTAGGACATCACATGCACTGCCATCTTCCTGGTAGATCCATGGCTGGTAGATCAATTGTTGATCCAGCGTAGCCTGCGTCGGGTCAAGAAGATCGGATGACCCCTGTGCCCACTCCGGATTGTCAAACATCCGCTGAAGCAATTCCTCAGCTAAGCCATGTTTGCACAGTAGAAAGCATGTTGTGCATCATATTTCCACACAAGTGCACACTACAAATTTACATTCTTGCGATTCTTGAGGATGCTTGGGCACAGTGCGATGGTTTGTGTCCGCAGGTAGCTCTGCAGGATAATCACTCATAGCCTGCTACACAAAAAAGGTAGGATTGAGAAACTCGACATATGTTCCACAATAAGTTCAATCAACCTAATCTCATATCTCTTTTCTGTAGCCTGAGCTTCGTTAAGTGCTGTCATCATTTCATCGTCTTCCATAGCAAAGGATCGATGTAAGGCTTCCTGCATGTAGAAAAGCAGCAAGGATCGACAAAGGTGTAGGATTTTGCAATTGTCAAAATTTGCAGCTCCAGTCGGTTCATATCTTGCCCCCCTCCCTATGGTTTGACAAAACCGGAAATAGAGGACATGTTTCATCTAAAATCAAAAAGCTACTGATGGGAAAATGGTTGAGGCCATTGGCCTGTTGTGCAAAGACCTATTGAGATTCAGATATACATTTTTCGGATATCTACTCGGGCCTGGGCATGTGAGTTGTTGCCATTGAGCGAATCCAGAGTGTGATTCTCAGGAAGACCATCGCCATTGAGCAAATCCTCCAGTCCATCGTCGAGGTCATCCTAGGGCAAACGGCAAATGGAGCGGGTATCCACGAGAGCAAAAACCACATGTTCAAATTATGTTTGACAGACATGCCAAGTGGCTGGTGATAAGCCCAGTTGGTTGTCAGGGACATCAGTATGGTCCAAATCAGTATCAGGTGTGAGCATTACAACACTCGATGGCGTAGAAGTCCTGACAGCTGGTTGGTGTGCCGGTGCAAATGTGAAGTTTACATAGCGGCACACCCCATCACATGGCAAAAAAAGCCAAGCACTATGCTGCTGAGATTCTTTCCCTCAATTGCATGGAAGAATGGAATACTACTTCCAAGATCCTGTTGTTCTTGTTCTTCTTCTTCTTCTGCGTTTTCATTGTCATCCAGTGTTGCATCCTGTCCATGGATCCAGGGGCCAATGGGTAGGACTTGTGGAAAAACAGGTCAGGCAACACAAGATAGAACAGTTGAATTGTTTGTTGGGTCCAGTCCTTCTTTCGTGTTTGTTTCTGCCGTGTTGATGGCTTCTTCTTGGCTGCAGCCGGCTTTCGCATTTGTTGCACACGCTCTGCTTCGTGGTCAATGGAATCACCACCACCACCACCTGATTCATCCTGATCATCCTCGTCTTCATCATCAAACAAAGGCTTGTGGTCAGCATCTGGCTTGTCATCTTTTTTCTTTTTCTTCTGTTGTGGCTTTTGTTTCTTCTCCCCAGACGAGTCCGAATCACGAACTCGTGGTGGCAATCGATGAAGTGTAGAAGACGGGGCAGCACCTCCAAAACAGGGACCCACCAATGGGACCAATCTCGGAAGACATATGACTGATTGTGCAATTTTTCATTAGTCAGCGAATGCTCATCATTCAACAACTGTACCACCAAACACTTTCCAATGCCTGTTGACGCACTTGCTGCACTTGACGCATTTGCTGCAGCAGCTTTTGCTGCAGGTGCCGTTGGCGCAGCTTTTGCAGCTGATACAGGTGGCAAGGGCGTTGTCGTTCTCGGTGGCGTAGGGTTCGGTGCCCCCTCCTGAAGGACATTATCCAAGCTGAATGCCTGGGCAGATGAACAATACTTGATATGTTTCGGGCTACTAAAACCTAAAAGATCAGATTGCATCGCATTGCATCAGATCACCAAAAGGTAGATGAATACTTGACAGATACTTGACCTGTCTAACCACCAAAGTCAAGTGACCGGCACTCGGAGCGCAGTTGTCAGTGGAACCTCCTCCACATCACTATCGTCCTTCATGGCCATGCCCCTATGAAGAATGCGGCGCTAGCGTTTCCCCACTCAAAATAGCTTCAAGAAGAAGCAAATGATGCAAATGATTGCAAGATCGTTGGTCCAGGCACAACTCAACTGTTGTTCCAAGATCAAAAGATGCAACAGGTGACAGGTGTGCTTCCATTTTTCGAGGAGCGTTGTAAACGTGTATTCTGTCTTTCAGTAAGAGCCCACCAGCTCTCCAATCTTCCCTCAGTAGTAGATTGGTTCTGAGATGGCCACCCTCACTGAGCAACCCATTTGGATTGCCGTGCCCACAAAATCCCGCAAAAGTAGGAGCCCGGTCTGTGCACACTCAGCAAAATTGCCCTGTTTGGCCCATCAAGCAACTGCCACACAATATCCCAACAAAGATGGGGTAGCGGGGGTAGTCACATCAAGGATTAGGGGTTTTGATTTGAGGAAAAACACATTCTGGTAGACTTTAAATTGACAGTCTTATGACAGGCCTTTGAACGTTGTGTTTCCACAAACAGGAGGCACTGTGAATCATTTACATCAATCGGACTGAAGCCTCTGCCAGATCCAGCATTCCCCTGGTGCAAATGCACGGTCGAATTGGCGTCAGGACCTTAACTCCATCGCCGTGGTTGCATTCCAGCCTGATCAGCAAGGATTTTGCAGCACAGTGTCGGGGGTGCACATGTTTTAAAGCATAGTTCAGGCATGAGACAATTCAAAGAACACAGAACCAACAAAAAACAATGTTGGGGCGGCCTGCATCTCCATGCGAGCTCCATAGAACCAAAGTTTGACTTGAGCTTGTTCACATTGACATGGGCCCCAAAGTTCTTCACAGTCAGGGCTACCTTTTTCTTCTTCTTTGGATTTTGACCCACAGCATCAAGCACAAAGACCAGCTGTTTGGTGTTCTGGATACCTGATTGCGTCACCTCGTTGTGGCTTAGCTGCACTTTCACCTGAACCCAGGGATGTGAGGCTTGCATGACTGATATACGACATAACATGCATGTTCCATGGTGTTGCTGTTTGCACATTACCCATTGGGGAATCAAGCTGCCTCGCCATTGTCAGCAAGCTCTGCAAGGACCGCTTTCAAGGTTTCCGCCTTGTCGATGCACTCCATGGAGGCAAGATGCTCTGGAACTGTACCTTTCTCAAGAATGATGAGGTCAGTCTCAGTGGGGTGGAAAGCAAACCAGCGCCCCTCGGTGTCCTCCATGACTTCGGTAGCATCCTAGATTTCAGCTAGCAGCTAGACAGCTAGTTTGCATTGCACAGAATCAGGCTTCTGGAGAAAGAACTCAATTAGAGATAAGGCACAGCTCCATCTCGCCACTCACCTCCACCAAATGAAAACCTGAGTTGCAGTGGAACGACTTCAGGCTGATAGGGCTTGGGACAACCAAATCAAACGTTTGGGCCATGCAGCAATTCTCTCTTATCCAGGAATTGATTTCGGCCCCTGCTGCTCAGAATCAGCTCATCTCCACTCTCTCCACCCAAAATAAGATCGCAGATGTTGTTCAAAGCCAACTTTTTCCTTGTGCGTTTTTTTTGGCGGGCAAACGAACACGGAATCACAAGAAAAGAGCATACAGTATTGTTGCAGCAATGATTGTCATTCAAGCTTCACATTCTTCAGAGTAGAGACATGCTGCTCAGTGCACTCCTCAAGCTTGACACGTTTCGCTGCAGGCTCATCAGCTTGGGGTGCTTCGGCATCTTTGTTCCTTGAATGTCCGGCAACCCAAATGTGAAGGAACATGACATGACTGGAGAGAAACATTAATTTTCCTCAACTCTGTTCAGGATTCAATGTTTACAACTCAACTGTCAATATGACAATAGTTATTTATGTATTACTATACAGAGTGAGTGTCGACTCACTCAGAAGATACTGGCCATCCTTGTTGAAGCGCTCGTTGTGACTTGCAATCTCTGCCTCGGCACGGTCCTTGGTAGTGGGCTCCTCAATGAACTTTGTAGCCAGAGATTGCAAGATCATAAGACGATTTGCCACCTGCGATGTGACTTTGTAGGTCTTCTCTGAGTTTGTCGGTGCTCCACTCTTGATGCTGGCCACTATCGGGCTTATGTCTGGGAATCCTGTGAGGGAAACCCGCCCAGCCCGAGCCGAAGAGTACAAAGTGTTCCCAAGCCGACACATGATGTCGCTTCCACTGTTGTCCAAGCACATTGTTCCACAAGCGGATGTTTTGCCATCAGCAAGATCCTGACACGAAAGGAAGTAGCCCCCCCTCAACACACACACACACCTCTCAAAGACACATTTACCTGACAGGGCATGGTCTCCTCCAGGGATGCCATGGCCAGGGCACCATCGTAGCCATAGAGGTCCACCAAAATCGTTGCTTTGGATGTTGGAATGGAGAATGACTTCAGCGTTTCGTGAATGAATCCTGTTCCTCCTGCTGCCTCAGTGTACCACAGTGCTGGTTTCCCAACTAGATTTGGCTGCAAAACCTGAGATTCCAAAATAAATGTGAGGTGCTTGGCGCATCTCTTGGACATCGGTGAATGCTCGGCCCAGGTGTGGCAAAGGCATTCCTGTCCTCCCCGGCGATGCCTCACAGGACAGCCAGCCCGAACATTGGAAAACAGGATGCTCCTGGTCAAAGGAGGGTGCTTGGTTGGTCAGTACTTAATCCTTAATCGAGTTTTATTCAATCAGACTTTAGGGGCCTTACTTATCCTTACTACACTTACATTGACACTCTTGTTCATTAGACTCACAGGGACACTAGACTAATTAGTCACTAAGTTAGTCACTGATATCCCCTAAACAGGAGTGATCGATGGATGAATATTGAGTGTGTTGAAAGTTCCTGGATTTTGCAATGCACTACAAGCAAGTTGATTCAACAGGAAGTTCACCGGGAGTCTTGTTTGTGAGTTTGCCAAGTTGCCATATCTGGCTTGTACATCGAGTTGCGAGCCAGCATTGGTACGGAATGTATTGTACCTGTTTTCCATCCTTTGGTTTGCTTGAAGAGGTTCCCCGAATTCCGACTGATGATGGCAATTCCAGGCATTGTTCCATCCCTTTTGCCATACACTGTCTCCTTGGTTCTATTGTTCGATGTTCCGCCCAAACACACACAAAAAAAGAACATGAGTTGCTTTTCACGCTAACCTCACAACAGTTTCCAAGCACAGCTCCAGACATACACAAAACCCTTCCTCAAGGCAAAAAGGTGACTAGTTCAACCCAAGTCACAGGTTCAAAGACCCATGTTATTGAGCGAGTCTTCAGCCCGCGGTCTTTGAGAGAGAGCTCAGTCCTCAGCCATCAGCAACATAAAGCGCTATTTCATCCACCTTTGAATGAACTTTTTCGCAACACTAAACATAAAGAAGCCGAGAATCTCCAGTTTGTACCTGATGTCACGGATCAAGAAGTCCTCATCGTCGTCACCTGCTTCGGCAGCCTTGTCATCATCAGAAGCCCCCTCGTCCTCCTCCTCCTCCTTTTTGACTCGATCCTCTTCCTCCTCTTTCTTTGCCTTCCTGACAGTTGAAATAAACACATCGTCCACAAGCTTTTTGTGTTTGCAACTTGTGTCATCAAATAATTTAGTATTTATGAATAACCCGATCGAAATCATCAAGGCAATGTGATTAAATTGTGTCAACAAATCCATCAAAAGCACTATGACAAATGTTTAGTCTGGATCCCAAAACTCCAAGCACGACAGCCTGGAATCCTTGTGTCCGGCACGGTTTGGATGCACCACCAAGCAAATAGAATTGAGTGGATTGTCTGCTAGCACGTTTGCAATAGTGCTGATGAAAAAGCTCTTCTGAGCAGCTGAGAACACCCCAACTGTGGGCCCATTGAGGATCAAGACAATTGAATGATCGTTCGGTGAACTGCCAAGTTCTTGCGCAGTGGATCGGATCCAAGAACGGCACGCAGGCAATACTGTGCTCTCAGCATCGGAACTTTTGCCCACAAACACGGTGTTGTTCTCCTCCAAATATTTTGCAACAATCTGCCACGATCTTTGGTGCGCTTCCTGCAAGGTGCTTTGTACATTCTTATGGTGTGCCCAAGTCTTTTTTAATGTTCATGCCTGCGCTAAATGGTAGATTATTCAAATCCATAGCCATTTGCTGAAGGCAAATATGAAAAACATCTGGCAGAGACAATATCCGAGTCCTCCAACTGCTGCAAGAGTTTAACTCGCTTCTTGGACTGCTCAGTATCGGACCTTGCAGAAACTAAATAGACAACCACAAAGTCAAACAATCATAGAGCACCCATACACACACACACACACACACACACACGCGCATGCATCACATTCACATGGGAGGTTTGCAAAACGGCCATATATTTGACCACAGGGACACCATGATTGAACCAAGGGGCACAATTCTGTCAGCCTCAAATTGGGCCTGGTCATATTTGAGGTCTTCAAGCCATGAAGCGAATCCTGCTTCGACTGATTTCAGCATAGCATTCTTGGCCGCATCTTGGTGCTTGGCAAGGTAGTCGTTGACGCACTTGCCTTGGGCCTGTAGAAAACTGTCAAGACGAAAGACTGCAAGGACCCGTGGACACCCTAAAAGTTATGACAGGATCAAGATTGAAAGCATTGGAGAACAACTTTCAACACAGAGTCTCAACAAAGAGTCTCGACTGCCTCCAACACAAAGCTCACACGTTGCCAATCAAAATCGCTTTCTGCGGCTTTCATAACAGTTTGGAGATCCGTATCCAAATGCCTTGCTTGCAAAAACGCAATCCGTATTAACCATCGAACTATGACGCACATCAAGAAGAGAACTATTAAACTTCAATCAACGAATGATGAAAGAACAGAAAGCGGCAACCGCGATGTTTACAACATAATTATGACATAGAACACAAAAACTAACACAAACCCATCCAAACAAATTATATATTAGATTAGATTCAACTATCAATTATAAAACAATCAATAACAATACAACGACTTTAAAAATAAATTGAAACATAAAAATCAATAAAAATCATCAAAAACCAATCAAACCCGGGAGGTCAAAATCTGACTTCAGATTGTGACGGGGTTTCTGGAAACCCCATCACAAAAACCTGGTTTTTGAAGACATCAATCAAACTGGAGACGTCTAAAAATAGCATAGAGTTTGATTGACCTGCCCTCAGACCATTAGAATTGTGACGGGATTTCTGGAAACCCCATCACTTTTTGAAGTTGGATTTCCGCCTGGGAGTTTGATTGCTTTTTTTTTGGCGGCCTGCCAAATCTGACCTAGCAATTGTGACGGGGTTTTTGGAAAACCCTTGATTGCCTCCATTGGTTTTTTGGCAACCAATCATTTCCACATAAAGAATTTATCAACCAAAAAAATTTGGCCACCAATCACTCCCGGACAAATACATTTGGCGACCAATCACCCCCGGCCAAAAACATTTGGCGAACAAACATGCACCCCTTTGGTATAGATATTAAGTTTCAGAAAAGCTGCCCTCCTTCCCACAAACCAGTCAGCTGGTCGACGATCTCAGAGGAGAAAGTAACTTTCAGCTTCTCCTTCATCCAGCACCAGCAGCATGAAATATCATGCAAGAGAATCATGGCATCCTCATCGAGCTGGTGCGATTTCTGCACAGGGTCACAGGGTACAGGCTGTCCGGAAAGGACTACACTACATGATGCCACGCCACCATCAAAATACATAGTGATATATTTACACCCCAGCCTTTGCCTTTGCAGATGCCTCTTTGGCTACCCTGCGTGCAAAGTCCTCAACAAACAAACGTTTGGAACATCCCTAATGCCTGCGATTGAACATCCCCTAACTGAGATTCCTCCTGTCCTTCGTCGCCCGAGTCACCCAGCAAACGACCGTAGTGTCAGAAGGAGACAAAATTTCCTCGAAGATAGCTTTGCCTTTGAATTTCGGGTCTTCTTTTCGCAAAGTTGATCCGGGGACATAGTATTCTGATTGAAGCAATTCGTGTGGTAGCCCTGCGTCCAAGAGTGACAAGCCACACCAGAACACTCAATCAAGGACAAATCAAACTAGCCTGAGCACTGGTGTGGATAGTCATCGTAATGATCATGCAAGATGGTCATCATCTCCGAGGGACACCGTAGCCTCAAAGCACACCAAGGCGACTGGGCAAACAAGTGCACATGCTTCTTTTGACAACAAACCGCTGCCAAGGAGCAGGTTAAAAATCAGCCCTTTTCGCTGTGAGTCGATTCTATGCCGGCGAAGCGTCACTAGCTTGTTGAATTCTGCAACGGTTTTGGTCATCGCATCCCTCAAAGTCACCTTTCCTGGGGCCATGCGCCGGTGCAGTTTGATCGCTTCAGAAATGTCTGCCATGATGGTGATCGGAGAAGGGCTCGTCTTCTCTGCCGTTGTGTATCCCAGTTCTTGGTTCGAGTGCTGATCTCAATTCACACAGAACAAAATAACGCAAATCAATGACATCTTGATGCAACATAAGAGTCTGAGAGACTGTAGGTAGAAATGGCTTGGGCTTTCACAATGAATATAGCAACACCTGATGGATCTGAAACTCTTCAGAGTAGCCTGCAAAGTTTCATCCTGCAAGATCTGTTCTGGTGAAAGGATCTCTTTCGCAAAGCACACAATGGCACACATCAAAAGGATCTTTGCTTGGCCATCCACTATGCCCACTGTGTGCGGTGGTATAGACCGGCTCCCGTCGGAGAACGGGAATTTGCAAACCACTGCATCAAAATGCGATTTGTACCCTCCAATCAAGAACTCTTTGAAATGCGCTTGGAACTGTGTGTTCGAAGGATAGTCTGGCAGGGTGCAAGCCAGGCAATGGTTTTGTACAATTACACAGTGTTCAACACTTGAAAACTTGAAAACAACAAATTTCACAACCTCCGACATCCGTTCTTCCCTTCCGGGGTGTAATCAAAGCTACCCAAGCCAAGCCAGAACTCATCGGTGCTGGCATTTGGTGCCAGGGTCAAGTGGCGCTTTAGAGGCGGCTCTGTGTTCACCAGCTCATCAATGGCCTCGAGAAAGCACGTTTCATGGGGAGGCGGGCATATGAAAAATAACTGCGCCTGGTGCAATTGAGATTTTTCCGGGAAAATGCTGATGATATGATCACCCAAATTTCTTTGTCCAATGACCTCAGTCCGCAAACGCTGCAAACCCCACAAGCCACTTGGGCCAGGTTGATCCCAAGCCACTGTTTCAAAGTACGCTGACAATTCTGAAATTGCCTTTGATTCACCATCTGGCAAGCCCCCTCCGGACTCCGCCTTCGGCTCTATCTTGAACTGCTCACTGATCGTCATTGGGCCGAAGCTTGGCAGTGGGTAAGCAATTTTGAGGCAATATGAACTGAGGCAATGTGATGCAATGTGATTCAATTTTGATACAACAGGTCCAAGCCTTTTCACCTCAAAGCCTTTTGGATTTCCATCCCCAAACCAGGCATTTTGCCGGGCACCCAAAGCAATCAGCAAATATCTGATTGATCAACCCTGACGGCGAAAAGCAACTTGAAGTGCATGGGGGCAAAGCTCTGGTTGGCGTTCCCCCAGCCGAAACTCATGGAGATTAGGCTCAATCGATGGAGCACTCCTCAGAAAGGCCAAGTCAGGCACAGGAGCAGGGTTCGCAGCATCATCCATTGAAGCATACCAAGCACAGGCCCTGTGCATGTGAGGATAGTCTCGCTTGATCGCCTTGCAAAGCAATGACAACTCCTGCCGTCGTTCATCTTCAATCTTCCAGCTTTGCTTGGGGCAGTCTTCACGATTCGCCAGCTTGATAAACTCTTCAGCTTTTGCCTGCAGTGATCCAGGCATGCAAAGCAAAGGGTCCTGGGCCAAGCTAGTCGATGCCATCCTGCTTTTGACCAGCGCAAAGATGTCCCTATGCGATTCTGCAGGGTTCCTCATGGCACGTGGAATGCGCTCAACTTTGTCCATTCCAAGGCCTTGATTTGGGAGATCTTGGCGAGCCATGAAATTGAAGGAATGTGGAACTGGAGTTGTATCTTTGTCATCATCCTGCTTTCTGATCTTGAAGCAATTCTTGAAGGTGACTGTGTCAGGAGCCATTTTTGACCAATCACGAACCTCGAGCAAACAGAATGACTGCAAAACACCAATTTGTTCCAAGAGCTGAAAACTTATCTTGCAACCAACTTGCCGTGCTGACGATGTCCACTCCAAATGCCCATCCACGTTTTTGAAAGATTGGAGTCAAACAATGAAGCAACCGGCGGCGGATATCGGAGGGAGTCTGCACATCAGGTGCTGATTTCATAGCTGCACTGCAAAGCGAAAACCTTGATGGAGCCAGACTAGCATCAATGTTCAATTCTGGCTTCATATCAAACTATTGATAATGACACAGTGCAGCCCAGACTCACTGCATCGATGTCTTCATGGGTGTGTCCCGGCACCATGTGGTGAATCCCACAGTGCCGGAACACATTGGATTGTACCAAGCAGCTGAGAATTCGATGGGAAAAGGTATTCCGGATTTCTTTGACTGTATTGTCCGATTGTAGAAATAACCTTAAATCACTCGGTCAGTGCCAAGCATAACATCATCTGAATGCCAACAAGAGTGTTTTGCTCAAACACCAATTTCATGATGTGAAACTCCCGTGGGAACATGCGGTTTGTCTCACGGCAAGCTGACCACACCTTTTCCAAACTCCTCATAGCCTCAGAGCACAATGAACACCATTATTTATGGGTAGAAACATGTAGAACATATACAATAATCACAAACTGAACACTGAACAATCTGAAGTGCTTGAGAGACTGACATTCCCAATTCCAGCTGCTGCCGCATCCCATGCCTTCATGGCTTGTCAAATATAGCCAGCATCCCCAGCCGTGACATATGACTCCGGTGAGCATGACATTTGCACCTCACTCCACAAGCATTTGGAAGACACTGGATTGGAATCTCCTGTTTCAACGTTCGAGACAAGAGCACATTTGCAAACAAATTTAAACCAAATGTCGCAGAAATTTCTCGAATATTGCTCGTTTTGGTGTTCGCTTCAGTGGCCAGTGCGGACAGCTCAACTTGGATTTGTCAAAGGAGTCTATAATCAACGTGATGAGGTCGCGCTGTGACGCAGCGCGGTCCCGCGCACTCCAGTAGATGGTTCTGTCCAGATATGTACTGTGATAGTGGCTGAGGAGCTGGTCGCAAAGCTTTGTGTGCGCACCAAAGTCCTTGTTTCAACGGTGCTGATGCAAAGCAAAAATACTCAACAAACACATCAACAAACAACTAAGGAGAGGTCTGAAGTATGGTGAATAGCGGTTTTCAATCTCTGGCACTCTGCACACATTGTATGATCTGACCTTCGCCGAAAGACCAGACATTGTCCCCATTGCCTGGCCACCTTGTAGAACGTGGACTTGGAGGCCGGTGGTAGTCCAGAGGCACGAATGTACCCAAGAAACATCAAGAACAATGATGCTACGTTTCCTGGAGGCAGCTCTCGCTTCGGCAGTCTGCCAGGGTCAAGCTGCAGGATTTGCTGTGAAGGCCCGAACAGCCTGCGGTCCACTAGGTTCTTCAACAGCTCTTCGCGCAAAGCTTCATCACATCGCGCTCGATCAGCGGTCGAGACACTTTGGAACCTTACGCAGCTCAACATCTGATATGCACACCTCCATGAGAGTGCAGGCAAGCAGCGATGTTGCCATAGACTCACCAGCGGTGTAGTAGAGGTGGGCAAAGAAGCCGTTGCATGATGCAGTCTGAGTGGCATGATGAGTTGTTGTACCTTGGGCAATGTTGCAAAAGTAAGTATGATGGGAAGTCTGAAAAAGAAAACTTGGTTCATTGTTCCGTGCGTGCTGCCACAAAGCCTTGGTTCAACCTCCTGCCATCAAGGCCTTTATGCTGCCGCTTGGTTCTGGAAAGCCGTTCCTTTCCAATACCCAAATACTTAACAAAGGCTTCTCGACAGATATGATGTCCTGTCAGGGTCGTAGCGAGATAAAGCAAGTATCTACTGTAATCGAATCCATGCTTTTGATGTCAATCAAGAACCATGTTCCTTCGATGTGCCATGCAGTGCCAGCCCTTGTCCGACTTTGCAGTGACCACAGAACTGCGTCCTGACTTTCCTTTCTCAAAGACCAGAACGATGAGCATATCTTTGTCAAAATGCCAAATGGGACCCGACACTGGCATGCACACGGAGGGTGTGCCAGTAGTGTTTTCAGTCTTCTAGGGTTCCTGCCATTCATCGCAATAGTCGACTCGTTCGGTGAATCATTCAAGTCAAACAAGCTTTCAAGGTGGCGAAGCTCTAAGGAAACCCAGTTGCCATTGCCATCTTCCTCTTCGCAGGATTCAGATGCATCAGATTCCATGTCACTCCTTAGCTATTAGTATGTTCAGAAATTGTGTCAAAATGTTTGCCATGTTTTGCTTATTAATTCAATGAAATAACTGTGCAATCTAGGATCTGCTCACTGTCACTGTCCGTTTCTTCAGAAGAGGTTTCATCATATCGACCCAGCCCTCCCATTGCTCCAACTCGACACAACTCATCACGCCCCTCATCATAGCGTGAGAGGACTCCCATAGCTCTCCCACGTTCTTTGGATAAGCCCAAAGAAACCCTCATGCCAAACAACTGCACATAAAAATCAATCAGTGTTTCTACACAGATTCAGACTTATATAATATTTAACTGTTTGAAAAGGGCAGGTTTTCCCTTTCCCCTTGTGCGCAAGCTCGTTGGGTCACTTCAAGTATTCCTGCATCCTTGTTGGGTGCAGTGCCTTTAGAACAATGATGATCGCTACCATCACTGCGCGAATTGCCATGCTATTCCCAGCGAGCTTTGCGAGTGCCTGGACAAGCAGGACATATACAAAACAAGTTTGGAGCACTCAAAAACGTATATAGGTGCGATCAAATTGCACGATTGGACAGATCCTCCCATTGAATTGTATCGATAGGCATACCCATCAATAGTAGCATCTCCACTCCTAGGCTTGCGGGTTGTTATTTGCCAACATCCAAACTTAGGGTTTCATACAATGTTTTAAATGCCTCACAGCTGCCAGTCAAGTACCTGTTCTGGGACTTGCAGAGCAACAAATAGGCACCCCCAGGCCTTGTTCGATTTGCTGATTTTGTCAGTGGAAAGAAGTTAACTTGTGAGCATGAAAAAGAAACCGGGCATCTAACGTCAGGCACATAAGTGGATGGTCATCACCGTAGATTGGATTCATGCGGTGGATGCTCTGAGACGTGTTCACCGCAATAAAACCTGGTTCCTGAGCGCAAAGTAGATCCAAGGCCTCCACAGGGATCAAATCAATGAATAGGGTAACACATGCGCATGGGTCAGCCTTGAGCTCCCTTTGTGAAGTCACTTGCTTCGCTGCGCCAGGATTGTGCTTCTTGAAGAGCCCAACGGACTTTTTCACCTTGGCACGGGCATCACAGGCATCTAGCCAGTGCAACTAAAAAATTCAAAAGACTCATGTGCACTGAGACATTCACCTGGTTTTTGGCTGCCCAACCTTTGTGAAGCCCTGGCCACTTGGCTGTCTTGGCTGGCCTAAGTTAACACCATTACACAATGACAAATATTGCAGTTGCGACAATAGGATGGAGCCGAGGTACTTGGTTTTCATGGTATTGTGCCGAAGGCATCTAGCTTGCATGGTTTTTTGCAACCACCCAGTGATCACGCGAAAAGAGCAAATCCGGCCTTAAATCGCACAGGTGGTTTGGACAATAAGGCATCGTACATTGTTTCTTACTACATAGTACATAGGAATATATACATAGGACATAGGTTCCTCCAAGGTGCCAAGACGTGTCAGATTGCATGAAGAGGCTAGACCGGATCCCAGATGCAAAGTGAGCGAAGTCTACTGTTGCCTTCTTCAAAGCCAAATCAGTCCTGACCAGAAGGATGTAGATCCGATTCCGAGCTATGGGAGCCCCAAACCATTGCCTGGGATCACATTGTCTTCATTTCCATCAGACTGTAACACCCAATCTGTTGAATGTGTTCCAAGATACGGGTCGATTTCCAGCCATGTGATGGTGTACCTATTGGTGCACTAGAAGTGTTGCAGCTTTCAAACCAAACATTGGCACACTGACAGTTTGCAGCCAAGAAGCTCTGGCAGCTGCATCCTCAAGACCGCCATGACTTCATCAAGGACCTTTTTAAGCCCACCCACGTTTTCCAGGATGGCGGCCTTAAGGGTTTCAAGCTCTGTCTCACTCTGTATTGTTTGATGACTCTAGGTGGAGTTGGAGTTGCGGACAAAATTCAATGCGAGTGGCGCAAGGCTGTGATTGCTTCAGGTTCTTCACCACAGCGTAGAATTGGGCTGCATTCTTATCTTTCAAACAAGCACGCTGCCCCAGAAGGCTGTACGGTTGGCAGGGGAACCCTGCAACTTGGAGGGCAACCTCAGGGAGAAGATATGTGTTTAAGACCCGGTACTGTAGTGCAACCAATTCAACAGCACTTGGGCCTTCCTCTTGAGCGAAGTCATATCCTTCTTCAATACATCATCACATTCCCTTGGGTGCAAACGGTAGGTAGGTGCAATTCTGCACAAACAGATTCTGGAACTCCCATGTGTGCCAAGCAACAGTTGCGGCCGCATAAAGTTTGTTCTGAGGAACTTCTGGGCCACAGGGTCAATCTCAGAATTTGACCTTTGTTGAGTTTGACATGTTCATCAATGAGACCTGACCTCACAAGTTTGATTGAACAAAGGAGCATATAAGTGATCAAAGGTTCTTTCTCCTTGAACAGCATTTGGAGAGCCATCAGTGGGGCTTCCAAGCCACTACCTTAAGACTTCAGACTTCGCACCCCCTCCAAACAAAAGCAACTGCCACCAGGTATTCATGGGCCAAGTTGCAATCACTTGCGTACCCAAAGGGTTTGTGGACATGTTTCAGGAACCAATCCAACCCTGAAGACAGCACAAACATCATGAACTGTTTCTTGTACTGTACATCACACAAAGATCATAGCGAGATGGCCTGATGTTTTCACGAAAGCATCCGCACAATAAATATACGAAGCTTGTTCCACTGTCAGCTCCTCACAGTGCCAGACATCAAACACACTCTTTCCGCCACACAACTGCACGGACTCCTGCACCAGCTTTTCAGGAGCACTCTCTGAATCGGACACTTCGCGCCACCTTCCCATGGCACCTACCCCTTAACCACTCCAGCCTTTGTGGTCTGCGGGGAAACGTGCAATGAAAGACTCCCAACATTGAAGACCTGAATGCAACTTGCAAAAGACCTGGTTGCAGTTACAATTGATTCTTTCCATTTGGATTGTAGACTTGCAGAGTACATGTGGGGTGCTGAGGAGGAAAAGGCCCGGCTCCCACCCAAAAAAAGTATCATATAGGAGAGGCAACATGCGAGCTTTACGCCCAGGAACCTGACCGAACACGCGTGGGTTTGGTTGGTGATTTGGCACTTTTTGAGGGGGCCGAACTGGGGGGCTCACGCTGGTTCAATAGACACCCATTCATCATCAAGCATCATCTCATCCATCCATTTCCATTTCTTCTCGGGCATGAGGTCAGCGGCTTTGCGAATGCACCGTCGTGTATGTGGAAAATTGGCAGGGTATGCCAAAGGAGCCCCCCCAAAAGCGAATGAGGACTCGAAAACTGATGGTCCTTGATCGTCCTTGTTGAGTGTCCTGTTGGTTCATCCACGTATCTTTGCTCATTTGACTGTAGTATCAACTTAGTGCATTTTAAGTTGTCAAATCTGAGGTTCGTCCTCAGCATGGAAAGCGATTCTCGGGTGGATTGGCTTCAAATGGCACTCATGCAGGCTGCGGAAGGCAAGCTGAAGGCAGTCGGTTGGGCAGTCAGCTCGTGATGCCAGTTGTGGTGTTGGGCGATGTGTGGTGTGAAGGGTTGAACCTCACAACTGCGAAAGTTGAGCTGGGTCGAGCTGCGCACAACGCATTTGCTTGGCCGTTCTCCTTGCGCTCCTTGTTCGTTTCATGTTTCTTCAACGGAGGGAGGGTGCTGAAACACAAAAAACCGCAACCGCCTTGTCAGGTCATTGATCGATTGATGAACTCACAGGAAGGTCACCTCCGTCATCTATCAAGACATGTCTTGGCGTTTCTGGGGAAGAGACGGAGGTTGTCTCAAGTTGAAGTGAAACTTGCACTCCCTGAAATAATCATGGAAGAGGAAATGGCCTGTTGGATGACCATTTTTAACTCGGCAAACAGGTGGTTTTCCACTTCCATGCTAGTGACTCGGAGTGTAGATTCTAGCCAGAAGTTTTAACCAGTGCTCCCACAGTTCCAAAACGTGACTTCTTGTGTGCGCCATTGCATCGGTTTGTTGTGAAATCTGACTGACTTGGTGCTTTGAAGCATTACCACCTGGAGGCATGCAAAGCGGCCTAGGCAATGAGACATGGCCCAACAACCATGTACTTGTGACTTGTGCCCATTGGCTTATTCAGGTTTATTCCAAGGGTGCACTGAGATTGCAGCGATGTTTTGAGTGGTGGAGAGGTGTTGTTGATTCTCCATCTCCAACAAAGCTCGGGACGGATGATTCTTTTTTTCAATACCATCCACAAGTCCACAAGTCCTGACTTATTTATGAGGCTTATTGGACGCCGACCATTTGCGTACAACAGATCTCCCACATGCGGACGTCGCCCGACCCGACGCAGGCAGCGGCCTTGTATGAAGTCTTGAAGCAGAAGAAGTTCGTGCCCTCCGAGGCATCGCACTGCAGTAAGCTACGGGCCATGCTGACAGCGAACTTGCACCTCTTCAGTGGCAAACAGAACCTGGTCGCAACCGAACCCATTTTTTTTTGCTTGGCTGACTGTGTCATCATTGGCATAGTTTGGATGGTTTGGACAGGCTTTGTACTTGCTGAATGTAAATGTCGAGCACAGGACCTAGGAGTTCCAATAATACACAGTACTGTTTGATCCAAAGGCGATGGATTCTATGTTTTGTGTGCGTATGTTTAAAATCTCTTCGTCCGGGCTATTCTGATGAATTTTCAAGAGCCCCTCCCTGGCTTACTAAAGGCTCACACCGCCGATTTCCGGCACTGAAAAGACCCTCCGAAGCTTGATCAGGAAGAAGGTCCTGGAGGAGGCAGCGCAGACCTGGGGCGAGAAGACCGAGAAGAAGCCAAAGGCGAAGGAGGAGAAAGCCAGCCGAAAGAAGTGGCTTGTAGGCCCAAACTGATCTTTTTGGCATTTGTGGGCCGGTGTTCAATTTTCTTGGGCTGGTGACCCATCTTTTGTCGGCCCCTGCCAGATTTGATTGGCACAAAACACCAGCCTCCTGCTTCAGTGGGATTAAGCCTTTCTTGAGTTGCCACATCCAAGGAAGCGGTCAAGCAGCAGTAGTAGCAGTAGCAGCACCAGCAGCAGCTCTGCAACGAAAGGGAGGCCTGGCATTGCTTATATTATTTTATATTCGAGTTTCCCTGTGTACATTGCCTTTTTGGGGGATGCCGTATATTCTTAGACCATCTTAGACCAATAATTTAATAGTGATCAAATGCTCTTTCACCAAAATGATTCCACCGTGTTCCACATGTTGCAAGAACAAAGGAAAGAAGAGAAGGCGAAGCGCAAGTCCACTTCGAGGAAGAAGCGGTCACGCTCGCGGAAAGGGAAGCGCTAGACACCGATCTCCTAGCAAAGGAATCGGTTTTGCAATGTCGAGTGGACCCTTGCAGCAACAGCAACATAAGTGAATGGACCAAAACGGGACACAGTCTCAGCCAATTTGAAGAACACCGTGCAGGGTGGCAGCGATCTCCTCAGCAGTTGGGCCACCCTGAACAATGGTGGCGTGCTGTTATTGCCTGAGTCCAATCTCTGTGGCTGTAGATGGCGCTTGCTGTTTAGGAAGGACCCTCGCATCGTGAGAGCAACGAAAAAAGCTGCTGAGTCAGGAGTGTCACTTGGTGCATTTTGTCATGAAATATTCGACACAATTCCATCCAAGCTTTCTACCCTTGAACCACTTAGGTGACACGGCGTAGCATGGACAAATCCCATCACTTCAGAGAAGCTCTCGGGCCGCAGTTCGTGGTTCCTTGACATGGCGAAGCTGCTGTCCAACACTTGAGTCTCTAACGTTTGATGTTTAGGAGAACAGTGGTGCCTGGTGGTTGCCAAGTTTCAGCTCGCTGCCGAGAAACAATAATCCGAAAAAAAAAACACGAAGAACGAAGATCTCCGTACCATGGATCTTGGGATTCCGAACCTCATGCTGACGATCCCACCAGATGACTTACTGAGTAAGTCTCATTCAAAAGATAATAGACATCATGACTCATGATGACTCATAAATTTCATGACTCATCGATCCGTATGTTTGTTGGGGGGTTCCTATCTATGGCTTCCCTCTCACGTGACACCTTCAGATTAGCCGCCCGTAGGCTGCCGACCATTCATGGCTGCGCAGCTGCGTCAGCTGCGGGAGCAGGGCACAGCACCTGGACCAGTTCGTTCAGCGTCCGTGTGTGCGAAATACTCGGAGGAACACATTTGCGTTGAATCGGATGCCACGGATGAAAATGACGGAAAAATGGGCTCTCTCTCTCTCTCTCTATCTCTTTCTTACGACGTTCCTTTGCAACGAGAACATGTCCACTGTTTTTGCGGTTCATGTTTTGAGTTTACAAGGGAAACACAAACAAAAGCAGAGTGGCATGAGAGTCACTCGGACAGATCCATGCCAAATCCACAGGGCAGTCGCTTTGACATGCGTTGACACTCTTTTGGCCCATGTTATATATATATATATAAATATTAATGAATGGGTTTGGGGCAAATGAAGCTGCATGAAAACTCACATATAAGGTTGTTGACCGTCCGCCCTCAAAGTACATATACCCATGCACTCCATGTATGGAATATATGCTTACATTGACCCCCCCAACCACCCCAATGCAGGCATATATGGCATACATGGAGCGTTTGGGATATACATTAATTAATATATTTATATAGAAAACGTGATTCGACGAAGAATACCGCATCTACGAGCCTTTCGCATCCATTTGGCTGCTGGGGTGCGGTCCCAGCATCTCCCGGTCCATCGGGCGTTGGATGTCTTCCACCAAGGAGTTGGATGTCTTCCACTACGGCTGCTCAGATGACATCAAAAGGTCTCTACTTGGCAAAGTAGGCTCTTGATTGATAAATTTTATCCCCATTTTGAAGAGGTTTTACAATACAAATGGGAGGATTCATTAGTCAAGAGTCTACCGAGTCTAGGGGGTGCCGATTTCCACGAATCCGTTCCAAAGGGTCTCCAGACGTCTCCAGCGATGGCTTACACCCTTTAACATGGTTTATCGATGGTGGTTTTGTTACGTCATGTTGGTGCTTTCTGGTTCAATACCAGGCAGGCACCTTGAGTGGGCTACCAACATGATGTTCACCATTTTTGGACGGTGTCATGAGGGACCCAAAGGAGTAGTGTGCCAAACTGCGCGGACTCGGACTGTGTGAGCCCATGCTGTCACCCCGAAGCGGCTCACGGCTTGGGTCACCATCCTCTCTCACGACCGGCTCGGGTCGTGAGCTCCGTGAGCTCGGATGGAGAGATCCCGGAGGTGCTGGAGGTGGAGGTCACTTCTATGAGACACCTGAAAGGACCACAGGCATCTGAAAGGGCTGGCAGATCGAGGCTTTAGACATCTTCAGACCCAGGTTGTATCTCGTAGGAACCGGCAGGAAGTGATGTAGAGTTGAAGCTGCGTGACATGCGCCAAAGAGTGGAAGAATGGGATTCATGCACTGTCTCAGTTTGCATGGCGGTTGATTCATGTTGATTCACCACTGACGGCTGTTTTTCCATAACAGTGTCCAGTTATCTTCTGAAGTAGCTATCAAGACCATTGGTACAGTGCTGTCCAAGACAATGCACAGATCCTCAGAGTTTGTGGACTTGGTGCACATAAGCTAAACGACAGCACCCTTCGCCAAACACATACGCTATCCAGGCTGTCGGTCCGGGTCCATGACACCGTTACGACACCGACCCGGGTGGAAGACCGGGCTTGTTTTGATCGAAGGCTGTGCCTTGCGGCAGCTTCGATGGACAGAGGCTTTGCATCTTCTTCAGGAGATGGATGGCACCAAGGTGTCCGATGGTGTCCGGGAGGAGTTCCGGTTTTGAAAGGTGGCTGCTTGTGCCAAGCAATGGCCTGGGACGCCAAAGCCAGATAATGGCATCCAATAGAATGTTCTAGCATGAGTTCTACCATGCATCATAAATAGTGACATGTAAGACATGTAAGAGCATGGTCGTGGCTCAGGGTAAAATGTTGAGAGTTGCGGTTGAAAGAGTCTGAAAAAAAAGACTATAGTCTCAACTCGTGCGCCATGGTCATCGTTTGGATCAGTGGTCAGTGGTTTGGGTCATGCCTCGGTAGCACCGATGAACACACACAGATCCCAAGAGAAATTGCATGAAATGACATGCTTTGTTGTGGTCTACATCGCTCTACAATATCAGTTTGGCTTAGTTTCGCTTGGAATGAGCTCCTCCACTTTGAGTTCTATGCTGGCAGGCCAAGACCGACATGCGGACCACACGAGCCTTTTGGCCGACCGAGTGGACTCGTTCGCATCCTCGCTTTGATCGAAGCACAGCGCCAAAACTCGGGTGACCGGCCAGGTGAGGTCGAACCAGGTGATCTTCAACAGTGGCATCGACCTCACAGGCAAAGGCCAGGTGGGGCAACCGGGGTTTCCCGGCCGCGGCGTCACCGACAGACACCGGTGAAGGTTCTGAACTGAAAGGTCGACCGGCCGAAAACGGTCGTTCCACCATACGTGAGGAGGGTGGAGAGAGGGTTCACTAGTCGAATGAGGCAAGCAGAGAAAGACACCATGTTTAATCCACGCTTTAGGAATATCACCAGCCACTCTCCTCCCAAGGCTGGTATTCAGTGAAAAGGCTTTCCTTTAAAGCTTTAAATCGGATGTCCTGCCTTGGTTTTCCCCACCTTCCGACATCAGCCGCCGGGGCGCCCTCCTTGCCGAGGCTTCCAATGGCAGGTGGCCACCGAGCTCTTCCAGATGATGCCAACCCGAGTGTTGAAGACCGACGCCATTGGCCACCAGACCGCACCGCGAACGACCGGGATCGTTCGCTGCGCGTCACGTTTGATGGGTCCAGTCACGTTTGATTGGAGGTTATATAGTGTCAGATGCTTTCAGGATCTTTCAGGTGTTTGGTTGGGTGGTTGCTACTATTTTGTCGTATATCAATTTCGTGGGCGTTGAGTGCCTGAAGGCACTTGTTGCGATGGGTGTTCCAAGGATATGACCGTCCAGGGCCGTCCGGCTCGCTTTTTTGGCCTCCTCCACGTGATATGCAGCACATGATTGAGACCTCCCCTATTGACCCCCTTTGATTTGTGACGTCAATGTCCTGGCTCCATTGATCTCGGCCATGTGTTCGGTGACTTCCGACTAGCTTTCGGAGCAAAAAAGCACACGGAACGTCCACCTCTACCAAACAGGACATCGATCTAGGCTTTTGAGGTTCGCACTTTTTTGGCAGTCTTCACAAGTTGTCCCGACAAGAAAAGTGCCTTTTTGTTCATGATACACTGGTTCATTACCCGTCCCCTTTCAGCAGAGTTTTTGCCGGTGAAACACTCAGTGATTCACCGAATCCATGCAGCAAAATGAAGAGGCTTAGCACGCGGCACATGAGGGGGGTGCAGTTTCTGTCCATCCACTCGGGAGTGGTATATTTATTTGTATATATGTCTACGAAACTCGATTGGTCAATCACTATCACTTTCAATTCACCTTTCCTCTATCTCTCTCTCTTTCTCTCTTTCTCTGTCTTACACCGTGTTTTCTGCGGATCACTCGACACGGACCCACCGTCATCGACCCAACCACCGGCTCAGGCCGTGGAGCGTGGGTCTCGGGGCTCCGGCGTTCGGGACTGAGAACGAGCTGGTTGGGTGCACTACAAGCGGCGCTGGGGGTGGCAGAGGTCTCTCTGGCAGCTGAGATGTAGGAGTGGGGGAGGAGGTGGACAGGTGGGGGAGGAGGTAGACAGGGTCCATCAGGGTCCCCCCCCAAAAATGTGTTGGTAGTTTGCGGATGGTCTTTTAGCACTAGTGGCCCAAACTTCAATCCTCGTTGAAATTCGACACGGAGGTCGAGGGCGGCTTGGAACTGCAGACTTTTCAGCGCAGGGCAGTAGACCTGTCTCACGTCGTGCCATGGCAGATGTTGGCGCGCCAGCCGTGCGCCAGGCAGATGGCAAGGCGGCCTGGGCAGTGGGCAGTGAGGAAACATTTGGTACAGATGGATCCATTTGTGGACTGACCCTCTCACTTCGTGAAAATGATTCAATCGAATCACCATTGGGGACGTAGGGAGGCGCAGGCGATGAACGGATGTGAGAGTAGGTCAGAATGATCAACATAGCTGAAAGAGATGGGCTGTGTTTGCAGTGCGTGATGTTTTGTCAGGAAGGATGCTCACATGATGTCACATGCACTTGTGAAGATGCAGGGCTTTGAGCCACGGCCGACGTGACAGAACCCTATTCTACAAACATCCTGTTGTTCTGTTGATGGAAAGCTGTGCGTAACAAGAACCTCAACGCGGAGACTGCATGACCAATGAGGTGACACTTTGGGCTGTGTTGTTCCAACATGGTATCTATTTGTTGTCTAGTCTCAGTAGAAAGCTGTGTCTCCGGACGATGTGGCTAAAACCTGTGTCACCACAGCCTGAGGTATTTCCGTGCTCGCAAGGCTTTTATCAATCAGCCGCTAAGCTTGTAACACGATGTAAACATATTATGTAAGCCAGCATTCCCTCCTGCAAGTCTTCAGTTTCAACCCATTCCAAACCGGCCGAGCGGCCTTTGCCGCTCTCCACGTCGGTGCAGGATGGAGACGACCAGGTCGAGACCGACGACGCGGACCCCGTGGCGGGTCCGCGGGACCCGGGCGAGGTCGGCATAGCGTTGGAGGTCGAGACACCACGCCCCAAGATGACGAAGGCACTTTCGGAGCTTTGGATTGAAGCGCGGTTCCGCCGCGCCCTTTCGCCGCGCGATGGGTGAAGATGGAGAAGATGGAGAAGATGAGTGTGGTGAAAGTGGTGAAAGTCTAGAGACGTGTCGGATGAGTGTTCCCTGTGCCAGCTGGCCGTCGGGTAGGATGATTTCCGCGTTCATAGGGCCGTTACAAATGATTATAGATGTTATTGTCTAGTGAGATATAATGCATCAGTTTGATTATTCATATTGTTGTTCCATCATTCCTATTTGTGCCCTTTTGATCCAGAATCTGTGATTTGGTTCTATGTTTCTTTTCTCAGTGTGGGTCAGTGGCCCTAAAGACGGATGCTACCTCCAAAAAGTAGGGTGACACACACTCACTTCAAACGCACATCTTCACCAAATCCATCAAGGAGACCGGGCGAGGCTTGAATTGGGACAACTTTGGCCTGAGTCGAGTGTGATTCAGCCTGTCTGTGGCTGGCGTTAGTAACCACACGTAGGCGTCGTGGTGGTTTGACTAGTGAGGATAGGTGAAGGCTGTTGCTGTTCGACGTGCCTTGTGGTGGGCTCTTCGGCTGTTTCTGAGAAAACGGCCGACCTCCGCTCCACCTGACTCAGGAGCGCACCTCCTATACCCGGCGCTCAGTCGTGACGAATGAGTTTCGGGTGAATATGGTGAATGTACATGCAGATTTTCACAAGGCCTGAAGAGGGTTCCCACAACGCAGAAGGAGCTTTGAAGTCTATATTGTATAATATATATATACATAATACATGTATAAAATTATCATTCACTGATGTCAGCATAGTTTGTGCAGTGTCAAGGAAGGTATTGCCTTCCGAAGGGCACTTCCAATACCATTTGTCCATTCAGGAGTTTGGACCTGGTTTTCTTTTTTGTTGGCTGTGAAGAAGGGATCGCCCACTTCTTGAAAAACACTCCTTTGAGCTAATGCAAAGAGAAGAGGATTGCGTTACCTGTTGGCCGGATTTGTGTGAGACAGGTCAAACTGGCATTGGTGCGTCTTAGCCGAACTGCAGGTCGACAAGGTCGTTGAACCTCGATTTGGCGGCTGGAGGGACCAGGTCCACTACGTGCTAGCAACTGGCAGGCATTCAAAGCTGCACTTGTGTTTGCCTCAAATAAGGAGAATGTGGTCGTTGTCTCATGTCAGAACCTGACAGTGGCCAGGCTAGTGGCCTTCCCCCCGCAATTCATGTTGTTCGCAATGTGCCATTCTGTTTGTGCTACCCTTCAGTTGCATCGGTCTTGTTTTGACAAAGGCATAGATTAGATAGATAGACAGACAGACAGAGATAGATAGATAGATAGACAGACAGAGATAGATAGATAGAGGTACAGGCCATTTTGTTTCTCTGCGTGGCCGTCCTCAGTTTTTTGATTGCCCCACCTTCATGAGATCTTAATTAGGGTATAACATGGCATCACAAACTTGAATTTAAGAGTAAACCCACAAAAAGGCACCTAATTCAATGTACTTCAAGGTGCATTCCAGGAACGAACGAGCTGAGTTTGACTGGGCGGCCAATCACTTTGCATCACCCTAGCAACCATGATCCAATGTTATTTTTAAAATAAGTGTTTGCAGCAATTAACTTCCATTCCGTTATGAGAAACCGCGACACAGGACACAGAAGGATCTGAAAAGACAATGCGAGTGTCGACGGCCATGTTTGATGTTGGGGTCCGGCATGTTTGCAATGCATATCCAAAACATGTGTGTGGTTTGGGAAGACAGGTTTTCTCGATAATTGGTCGGATGATATAGCATGATATAGCATTATGGCCCCTTGTGGCGAACCACATCAAAATTGCAGCACCACTATCAAACCGTGGGGTGCTTTTGCTTCTCGTTTCACTTCGCCGGTGTATTTCGAGGATCGATGTCGAAACCAGTTTCAGCGATCGTTGGGATTCCGCGACTCAAAAAACCTTCGCATCAGTCTGGGTCCAACCCAGAAGAGACACAAGAAGACACAACCAGAACCACGCAGATCTGCATGTTGCCACAATGTTCCAGTGGGGCACTCCCAATCAGTTTGGACCAGCCCGACCAATACGTTGGTGCATCCACCAAAAACCAGTGAAAGTCCTGTCCGACACAGTTTGTCGCGGCGATGTGACTTGAAGACCCGTGGTTAGCTGCAAGAACCGATGCGAACACCTGTGGACCCAGCTGTGGGCCCTTTCGCCCAAACGGATTCGAAGCTCAGAACCCGCTCACCATGATATGAGTGTTCAGAGTATCCCGGATGCTTTGGGCTGGACTAGTGGCTGGACGGTCCAGCCTTAATCAATCTGAGGAGAGTCATCGCATGGTGAATCTGATGACTTTGACCATTTTGGTGGATGCCATATGCGCTTTGATCGCCACAGATGCGCGGGCCATGCACGTGACCTGGAGCAGTGATGAGACGAAGACCGCTTGTTGCACTCACAGCCCAGCAGGCCAAGGGCCCGAGGGATCCTTTTCCCCCGAGCATTTATTTCTAGCGGCTAGGGACGTACAATTTTTGGACATTGATTATAGACAGTACCTACGATTCGCTGCAACTGACAATAGATATTTTGGCGATTTGATGGTTTTTCTGTTCCAAATGAATATATGCTAAATTGTAATGTTGTTATATCAACATAATTAATATGATATCATACAATGTAATGTAATGTAAAAAACGTACGATGCGTGTGCATTACATGTTTGATACCTGCACAAGAGCCTATTCCTTTCTCATCCTTCTTCATCATGTTATTTCCTTTAAGTTTGGTACAAAGTGGCATTCCTGTGGATCTTCTCCGTTTAGGATTCATCTCGAGGGGCCGGGCACCAAAAGGGGTGTCTCGAATAAGTAGATAAAGAGAGGAACCAGTCGTAGCGGTTCAGCAAACTCCAGATTGCTGTACCATCCTTGGACATTGATTAGGCGTTCACATTTAACCGGTTGATTCGCTGACTTTCGGAGGGCCGCTTCAACCACTGGTTTGTGAAATTGGCGTCGTAGTGAAACCCCATGGCCCATGACCTAAAGCAACAAGCCGCTCTTGGAAGAAGGTGGCGTTTGGTGACTGTGGTCGGTCAAGGAACCGCGGCTTCCAGGACCGTTTAAAACATGGTTGACCTGGTGCTGTATAAACTCCTTAGTAAAACAATCATGGTTGCTCAGAAAAAAAACACTTGCAAAACCGTTCTGGTGCTTGGAAGCATCCGGGGGCTTTTTAAACCCTTCTTTCTCTGAGGTTCATCCACCGCTCTACATCGATTTCCTCTCGGAAGCGTGCTTAGGGGTTTACACCCTGGAGTTGGTCGCAATCTTTGCCCTGCATGGCAAGAAAGCCCTAGAAAGTAGAGCCGTGCTCTTCGATATCTTCACCATTTCTTGTAGCAACTCGCTACAATAGCAGAGTGAGTTCAAACTTTTTCCAATCGCTTCCAGTATGCACACTGCCCCAACAAATTTCTAGATATCATTAGCTGATTTTTGGCTTGTGGGAGAGGCGCGCTCGTGCTTGACCTAGGTGGACGACTTGCAGACTTCAAGGTTGTTAACTGTCATATACCTCCTCCCAAAGTGCCATGCGATAGAAGCTGGTAGAGGAAAAGGATCTGATCTAGCGGTTTTGACAAGCATGTTCACACTTGACATGGGCATTGATACCATCATGCAGCTGCTTCATCATGCATATCTTCTGTTTGGATGCTCACAAGCAGGCAGTTGTTGGTAGGTGAAAAGCTTTGAGACTTGGAGGCCTTGGGGGTGACCAGAAAATAGCTGAGAATACTTCAGAACATCGAACTGAGTGACTTACTTCGGACAAAAGCCAAGGCTACTTGGATTGCATCTTCCAGCTGTTCGACGCTTTCGGCCACACCTTGCCTCACGAATTCCTTTTTCTCCGCGACTTGCGGCTGTTGCGCTCCTTCGTCGCATCGCGATGCATCGCGAAGGGGGGCGAAGTGGGGCGATTCGCGGATTGGGGGCGTCATCCGACGGAGGATGTGCGGATGAGAGACTATATGAGATGCCATTTTTGCCAAAGATCTCCATTTGCACCTTCTTCATATACATATATATATATATAGACACGTGTTTGATTTGCCTTTGGCATTTCACAAAACAAGGAAGGGTGAGCCGACCTCACTTAAGAAATGGATTCTAGCCGGGGATGCCTTCTTTGGCACATGAGGGAGAAGCATTTTGCACCCTGGAAATGCTAAGCTGAAAAATCGTTGGTTTGTGGCTATTAGTGACAAGTGACTAGTGTCTTGCTGGTACAATATCCTTGAAAAGGTACTGTAAAGCAACTTGAAATAATTTGAACCTGTCTGAGTTCGCTGGCAAGGCGTGATCCGGGTGATGCGCGTGGCGCGCATCATCCAGCGGATGCAGTCCTTGAAGGAGCTCCGGAAACTGGTGTCAATGATGGCAACCTGCATGAAGACCCTAGGCAGGGCAGAGATGCGGAAGAACCCTGAAACTTTGATTGGCTTTGCTCCGGACTCCGAAACTTTGGACGACGGACTTGTTGGGTTTGAAATGGTTTGAATTTCTTTGGATCCTTTGAGAAGGAGAGCCGGTTACAACCCAACTGAAGATGAACATACGGCTTTGAGGCTAAGACTAAGACGCCGATGGGGCTGCCGATCCAAGCTCGAAACAGGTTGGTCCTTTGCCTTTTGCTTCGCCTTCATGACCTTTTGGGCAGCTGACCTGGAAATGCAATGCGATGCAATGCGTTTTGTGATGTTTTGCGTGTTGTTCTTGTGCACCAAATCGTCATCGTGCACTCGTGCAGGTCAAAACCGAGCGGTTCGCTGAGGCCATGATGCTGGTTGAATTCGTACACCCCTTGCTGGTGCAGATGCAGCAGGATAAGATCTTGGACTGTCCAGACTGTGTGAAGTCCACTTCGTCCATTATGGAGCCTTAGTTCTTGCACGGCCTTTTGATCTCAACACGATCGCCCTACACAAGACTAAGGGGGCCACATGCACGGCGTTGCAGGTATTTTCCTTGGGTTGTTTGATGTTGTTTGTACTAATTATGTGTCTTTTTTCTGTTTCCTTTCATGCTGGATGGTATGTTCAGACCCGCTTTTCTTGGACGACTCAGGATGCAAACCTCTTGTTGTTCAAGACGGTCATTGCTGGCGACGCGTGGGGACGGGTTGCTGTGCCCGTGATCGAGTATGTCCCACTAACGGCGATCGTGTTCTGCGGCTCGCTCATGACCACCGTGTTCGGAGTTTTGAACATGGTCATTGCAGTCACCCGGCTGTTTGGAATGCTTTTTATTGTGCCGTTTTGCAGTGCTGAAGAGCAAGCATCGGGCAGGATGTTTTGTGACGCGACGTACTGTGTGCGTAGCTGTCCCATACCTGGGAAGCATGTGAAACGAAACTCTTAAGTGTATTGACTACCCCCCCAGTCACCCTCGGGTGGGTTAATCGAGTTATGGTTGTGGATTGACTGTTGCATATTTAAGAGCTGGCCCAAGAAGTCTGCAACATGTCTCTAGGACGTCCGTTTTCTGTTTTTTGACGTGCTGAGGAGATGGTAATGCAAGAGCACCAGCACACTCTGCTGCAACACATGTTAGCCCCGATGGTGGTCTGGTAAGCAGCAGCGGAAAGGTCCGAAACATTCCGAAACTATATAGGTAACAATCTTCACGGCCCGTGAGTTGAAAGCCCAGAAAGAAAAGGTAATAAGGAAAACAACATGAACTTGATGATTGGAATGCAATGACACCAATGCTTACCAGCAGTGACAAAAGCTATGAAGATGCAGGTGATGACAATGCTGTTGTGAAATGATGCAATGGTATCAAAACCGATGATGATGGTATCATGAAACCGGTGATTGCCCCACCACTTCTCCCCCCACCCCAATCTAATCCGATGACAATGTTGCGAAACGAATGACAATTGACAATGTTCTGAAAGCAGATGACACTCTGGTGAAAACCGATGACACTGGTATGAACCAGAAAACAGCTTCCAGGGCAGCGAATGGAGCACCACACCGATACTAATCAGATTTTGGCAGATATGAAACATGTTTTCCTTGAATGATTCCATGGCCAGTGTCAACACTGCCCGGTACTACCCGCCTTTGACAAAACCTTTTGGCACATGTGGAACCAGCCAATTGGCGAAAATGAGAGAGAGAGAGAGAGCATGTTCCACATTTTAGGTACCAGACACCGCCCCCCTCAACCCCAAGTGTTGGCTGGCTGAGGTTGTAGTGGATTCTTTCGCGGAAACTCGCCAGAAGGATGTGCTGAACCTGGCGCAAGAGCTGGAGTATGAGCATGAGAAAGACAAGAAGAGTCTGGGTCTTGTGATTCTTTATAGTATTTACTTTTGGTTCTTGTTGTTCTGTCTTTGTCAAAGTGCCACCCCCGGCAACCAAAGCCAGTTTCGTGTTTGGTGTCGTGCAGCTGTTTCAGCCCGGACAGACGCATGACACGAAGCTTGCTTTTCCGCTCCAAGCTGGAATACCACAAGAAACCCCAAAAAATGAACTGCGGCAAGGACCAAGGATGATGGTCTGTAAAAACATGTAGAAGCTAAGACCCCATAGGTTTGCGGTAAAGTTCCAACTTCACACGAAGTGCTGCCCATATGCTGTGAGTGATGGATTGAATTTTGTAGGCCAAATGCAAGATATTGCAATGTTCCCAGTTATTTTTCGCGTTGCTAATGGCTAATGGGTTCAAAGCCTAAAGTAATTAATTATCCCCTTGGATTTGGTGCGGGACAATTTAGCAAGGGGCATTTTCCTAAGGCTTATGAGAACCAGGACCAGGTTTTGTCCTAAGTGTTTTGGACAAAAAAGGGGTCGTGCGACGAGGAGGGTGGAGAATATGTTCAACCGTTTGGACGTCGAGGACAAAGGTGCTTCTTGGCTGCAGGGGACACCACCCAAGCTGGCACAGATGATGATTTGATGACAATGAGGATGGAAACATATGGACACCAAAAGAGGGTGAGTGAGAATCAGACATACATGCCTTGATATCAATATAAGGCATTCTTCCTGGTCCATGTTCTTACCACCTCTCATGGATCAAACCAGGAGTTAGCAATGAATTATTACATATACTATATAGATATACAACTGTGTATATAAGCCGCATTATTCTGTGGAAAATTACTGCCTGATGTGCTCTTTGAGTTTGTGGTGCAAATGCCCAGCGGAAATCCCAAGGAAACGATCAGAAATCCCTGGAGAAAGGCAGACATGTCCAACTTCTGTTGTTTGACCAATGTTTCTGCAGCCACTTGGGTTCGTTCAGGTTTGAGGAGATTTATAGATGCGTCGCCACCATCTCGAAATGCTTTCGAAAGCAGAAGGGGTGCTACATTGCTAGGCTTCTCCAAAGCAAGCTGGCTCTCATGAGTGTGAGCAAGCTTCCGTGGTTCCTGAGAAAAAAAACATGTGACAACATCTATTGTACAGTTTGTATATGCACATGCATTTTGCATTGCATCGTCGCGGGTTGCAACCTCGGTTCCTCCTTTGAACAAACCACACCAACAGGGGATCAGCCACCAAACTATGGACCTACAAACGGGGGATGGAATGACCGGTAGAGTGCACTTTGGTTCGGTGATGGCACCTCAACCACCTCATCCGTTTTTGTTCGACGCCAGTGATGGTCAGTCCGGCCTCGCGTCCAGGATTTGACCTTGCAAGATTTGGTGAAGGGAGCTCAGACCGATCCAGAGTTTCAGTCTCGCCTGCGGGTCATGGATATCGACCAAGCGGACTTGCAGCAACTCTTTGAAATGCGTCTTGGAGGTGAAGAGGCTCCAAAAAGGGGCAGAAACACCACAGAAAGCACCCGTTTTTGGAAGGTCTGCAGTCCGCCAAATTGGCGGGTCGAGAAGGGTCAGCCCTTCGGTCCGGGCGGGCCCTTCCAGGGATCATGCGCATTACACGAAGGGTGAAGAGTCTGGCCTTGGCGACAGAAGAGAGACGGTGACAGCGAGTTTTTCACGTTTGCGTCCTGATGCCATAAATTCTGACTAGATAACTAGTAGATATAGAGAGAGAGAGATCATTTGCAGGCCAACTATTGGGGAAGCAATTCACCGTGCACTTCCTCGGCAAGTCAACAAACCCAATGAAGCGAGTGCTTCCGAGGAACAAGTCCCAAGCTCATTTCGACGTGCCAAGAATCTACTACACAGTTCCCCATTTGTTGGTCGATTTTCGGGTGCTGCCACTAGTGGTGTGGAGAAAAATAGCAGTCGGACCTTTCTCGCCGCATGAAAAGACCGGCATGAAGCAGAGCAATGATATCCTTTAACTAAGAGACTGACAGGTTTGATGGATGTCTTGCGGTGTTTGCTGCTGTTGGGAGTGAAAGTATGAAAGTAGGTGGCCCACTGTGACAGACTGTGACTTCCCGGGTGAAAAAAAGAGATAGCAAAAACCACTTCAATTAGGTGCATCCCTTCCTGCAATGCACCCCACCCTTGAAGCCCAGTCCGACGGTTCAGGGATGGGACCTCGCCGTCTACATATCGACATGACGAGCTCATGCCCCATAGGGGTGGCCAAATCCACATGAATGGACTGTGTTGGGGCAGTTGGTCCTGGCAGTTCGTTCTACCCATATCGATCTATATCTATATCGACCTATCAGAGTCTTGAGCTGGAGAACCTCCCACAAAACCAATGCAGAGGCAGAAACCTTCCCCGACCAATTGTTGACAGTAAACAACAATGGACCAGGAATTTCAAAACGAGTCTTCTTTGCTCCTCCCCCAAGAAGGGGACTCCGCCACTGAAGAGAAAGGAACACAAAACGCGGCGTTGGCCCCCCCCAGGATTGACGCGGATGGTTCGGGAGCCATCAGCAAGGAGGAGTTCATCCGGCCACTCACGCGGTGGATCCACGAGTCCAAGACGGCGCCACGCTTTGTGAAGTACAACGTGGATCGCAGCTTGCAGGCTCAGGCACGCTGGCCGCCGTTGGCCCTTTTCTTAAATCACCACTTAGACTCAGTGAAACGAAGTTGATGGCACCTTTTTCACCCCGTCCGTCACGATGTCTTGAAGAGATGGGGGGTGCCATCTAATCTACTCCAAAACCGTATTTGTATTTTTTCATATTTGTTCAATGATCACGGCGAATGTATGAAAAATCCATGCGCCCAAACAATGGTCCTTGAGTAGGAGATTGTTCCAGATGTTGGCATGAGACGGTGGTGTTTCTGGTGGGGTGGGTTTGTTGCTGGGCCCGTGGTAACATTTGGGCTGTTCTCACATGTTCTCCCAGGGACAAGGTTGTCGACAGATGTGGGACAGCCTTAATTAAACGAATGACGGTTGGAGCAGGATTTGGAGAGGTGCAGCTTACCAGGCTTAGTACAGCTTCCCAGGCCCCCACTGCTCACTTGGCCGATTTGCTTGGGGTGAAGGGATCCTTGGGTCCGGGTGGACCACGAGGAGCCCACAGACCTGTTGTGCCATACCCAGCTCACAAGATGAGCTGTGGTTCATTGTTCCAGTGCATCTAAGTGGTCCGTTAGCTTTGAATGAGAAATGAACGCACTACCATTCCAAGCCAGTGTTTACCTCTTGGAGGGAACTCTTCCGGGACAAGAACGCCACAGTTGTTGAGGGTATATAGAACACAACCCGATGTGCCCGTGAAAGGAAGAGATCTTGAAGCAAAGCCAGGAGCAGTGTCTCAGACTTTCATTTGTTGAGCAACGATTTGCTGAGCAACTGTTTGCACGGCAGTTTTGTTGCAGCAAAGCGAGAGCCCCATGACATAGTGGTTCCCACATTGTTCCCTCCTCAATTCGGCTGAATTGTCGATCATTTGCAGGTCTTTGCCTTTGCAGCTTTAATATTCAACTTTGCTCCTCAGTTCGTTTAGAATCTTAGAGCATCCTGAGGTTCTGCATCTTGGCCTCTCGCTTGGATGAGCTGTGCCAGGAGTTATTGCCCAAGACCAACCTTGTAGATTGGCAATCCTCCATTCAGTTGGCCCCGGACTACATCCCTCGCAGTATCATGGCGCCACCCAAAACACTGAGCAGGGCAGCGAATCCTCTCGAGGCAGCGAATCCTCTCGAGGCAGCGAATCCTCTCGAGGCCTGGCTGTGATTTCCATGTCGACCTGGAGCGGTTTTGGTCGTAACAAGCCTGGAGTGGTTTGGGCGACCGACCTGTGTTGAGCACTCCCTGGCCGAAGCTCCGGTCCTTCCCAGCTACGACGTTCGCTGGGGGGGCCAACATGGGCCAACAACTTGTTCGCCGGACCTCAAAATTCTAGAGATGTTTATTGTTGTACGGGGGAACGAGAGGTCTATTGTTGCAACCAAGGGGGCAGTAGGCGTGAAAGGACTGTGTTTTTTACAATACTATGTATATATATATATATATGTTATACAATATGTAGTTATTTATATAACATTACAATTAGATGTATTTTAGATGAGTGTATGTCACCGGCATGCGTTAGGCAGATATGGCTTTTATTGAACAATTGAACATGGTGTAAGAAAGAATCCAACCGATTTAGACTGGCTAGAGGAATTGAGTTGATTGTTGTTTTTAAGTTGTCACGATTGACAAGTTGACAACTAGTTGAGTTGAGCAGTCAAATATGCTTGTCAAGATTTGCTCAAAAGAGTTTATTTTATTATTGCAACCTACTGATATTTGTTTAAGCCAGTCTTTTTGACAGTAGTAGTCTATTTCCCCACATTGACGTGCGGGGTTTTTTGTTCTTGGTGCTGCATCCGCTCTCCTCTCCTCTCCTCCTCCCAACCACCAACCAACAACCACCAACCAACCACCACCAACCGTCCGCTCCTGTGTCTGGTGGAGTTGTTACATGTGGCGCTATCCGGTCCTTTAATTTTGTTAAGCTGGTGGTCAAATTGGGCTTATAATTAACCTGCTTTCTATTTTTGCAACCTACTGAACAAGAATTTTATTAACAGCAGCTTAATAGACTCGCCGTCTAAAATTGCAACCTAGTTTGCTCAAAGCAAGCTTTATATTGACAGTATGTAGTTTTTTCTTATATCATTATTTGTATTTTACTCTTGTGTAGATATATATATATACATGTTTGTTTGGTGAGAACATTGAATTTGTACTACAATTGATGCCCTTTCCATTATACAACCATATACAACCTATTGAAAAAGCAGTCTGTTTATTGACTGTAGTTTGATGTAGTTTGTGATTGTATGCTTTCGTTGGCCGGGGGGGGTCCCGGGTTTATAATGGACTCGCGGTTTGTTTTTGATAGGAGTCATATTATATATGTATTGTTGTGGCCCTGATCGAGTTAAAAGACACGAGGGTCAATTCATCCTGCGTGTGGTGCGCAATTGAACTACGGCGTAGCTACGGAATGCACGAGGGTCAGTGTGTTGGTGCAGCCCTTGCAGGTGTTGGAAGCCTCCATGGAGGATGTGGAACAGCCTAAGGATTCCATGAGTCCGACACTTGAAAGACCTTTTTTGTGGAACGGTGACCACCGGCCTGGTGAATTCGGACGGGAATGGTGCTGAAGGCCTGACCCTTTGGCTCCATGAATAGTTCCAATAGACATTCACATGTCGTGTTTTGGAACGGCATCCGCGAGGCCCCAAGGGGGTGTGAAATGAACGGAGCTCTTGACGCCCACTGGGTGCTGGCACATCCGATCCCGGTCGAAGGGAGCCTGGAAGCATTCTGATTTGATTGACGACGTGACACGTGGCTTACCGCAGTGCAATGCCCATTTTCTGTGAATCCTCCACATATACCAGGTACTGTATCGAGACCTGAATACACCTGGTAGAGATGGTGAGAAAAGCCAAGTCTGCAAATATGTTTTGCCGGTTGGCAGGGCGTATTTGCTTCGCGAGGGATGCATGTGTTGGAATTGAGTTTATGTGTGCTGGTTGCTATACCAGAGTTTTGTCATCTCTGGGTGTTTGCTGTTTCATGCTGCCTTACTTTGGATACCTGCTACTGAAAGCTGTGACACACCCCACACACACATGCACGGTGGGCAACCGAAACCCTAATGCCCCCATGACTCCCCAAGCACTACTCTGCAGGTCAAAGACTTTTAATTTAGTGGAGTTGATCATACAAAAGCGCACGACTCAAAGAGGTAAAGGACCAGGTTTTTCTGGGTCAGACTGGCTAAGGGTCATGTGAGACACCGTGTCGCACAAGAAAAAGGGATCACCGTGATGAGTTTCATTGAGTTTCTGTGGAGGTAGCTGGAAGTGAATGATTCAAACCATGGGCTCAAACGTCCTCTAAATGATATTCGTGGTGTTAACCAGGAAGCATGCCAATCATTTTTGCTGATTGGCATGGTGCAATTCAGTACCCTGGAGGCCCGTCCTCCCTGTTTCTTCGATGGTACATCAACCAAGCCTTCAAAAACATATAACTGTCAAGTCTTCGACCGGAGTCTTCAGACTGCTTCAAGTCTGGAGCCTTCAGTTCCAGCCAAGCTGGACATGAATTTAGTTTTCTGGATCTTTGCGGACCACTGCCACTGCTGGGGAACATGAACCACAGAAATTCCTGTAGAATGCAATGGGAATGATGACGTTTCAGAGGTTTTGGGGGATTCACGTCCTTCTCGTTGAGACCTTTCTCATCCTTATGCCGTAGAGTCTGGACGGTCGTACCCAAGTCATCCCCAGTTGACCCGCCTCGCACGCATGAGCCGTTGCGAGCTTGGACATGCAGCTCGAGCCGGCCCGGCAACGTTTTTTGCGAGGCGACTCTTGTTGAACACAATAAAGATCTTGTCAGATCTTTGATGACTAAAAGGCTAATTTGCTCAAGTCATCAGATTGAAGACTCCGTGCAGAGTGAGCTTTTGCACAGAGTGCATGGTGCGGAAAACTCCATGCTGCACCACGCAAAATTGCGCGGTTGCGTGCTGTTTGCATGTCCTGTGACCATGAGGTGGCTCACCTCAGTGCCCATTTTCTGTGAATCCTCCACTGATACCAGCATCGAGACCTTAATGGACCTGCAAAATTTTCTGGCCGGTTAGCAGGGCGGGGCGTCTTCGCTTCGCGAGGGATAATTATATGTTTTGGAATTGAGTGTATGTGTTGTTTGCTAAGAGGTTTGGACTCTATGGGTGTTTTGCAGTTTCATGCTGCCTTTCTTTCGACACCTGAAATTTGTGATGGACGGCCAAAGCCCGATGCTGACTTCGGCATTCGACGTTCGCCAAATGGGGGATGTGAGCCACCATGTCGCCAAGAGCTGTTGCAAAATGGATCACAATGATCAGAGTTGACTTAGAGAATGCAACAGAACTCCCGGCTCACGATTCCCCACAGCATGGGCCAATGGGCTCCACAAATATAATGAACCACACATATATAATAAGTAATATATATATATATCATTAGGATTCAGGTGTTGAACAGTGAATTTACTTTGGGGGAGTGTTGAACGCGGAGTGAGCAGGAGGCGGTCGGAATCCGCTTCAACGCAGGATGCTGGACCGGTTCTTTCTCGCATTTGCCGTCCAAAAGTGCCCTCAGACTAGGTCAGTTCGACCTGTCAACAGAGATGTTCTCCTTTCATCAACCTGCCGCAAGATGAAACCACAGGAAGACCATGGAAGACCTAACACATCTCCAAGCTTCTCATTTCTCATGTCCAACGCCAAAAAGTGGGTGACGGCAAAACATAGCAATCCGGCAGAATCTGCGTTGGCCTGGTTGGTGGCTCAAGGCGGTCCAGTCCGAGGCTGCAGGTTCAGTGTCCCAGCATGACAGTTCCGAAGTCTTGGATGGTGTTGGATGGTGTTGGTGTGGTGGACAACGTTTGCCATCTTCAGGGGGGGCTCTGAGGGACATAGAAGGACCTGAACTGGATTGCAGATTTTGCAGATTATGGTTCACGACCCAGCGAGGTTGATTCAAAATGTACAATCAATCATACTTGGGTTTATTGCACTAGGGGTCCTGTTGGCCTGGCGAAACATTTGGATCTTGATTTGCCAAGTGACAGGGAGCTTGCGCCGCCCGCAGACACTTGGCTTGGCTGGCGTTTGCTACTCCATGCACTCCTTGGCTGGCATGGCTGAGCGCAAGGACCCCTTGCTGCAAATAGACAGTAGCTTTGTGATGGTTTGTGTGCATTTGCTCGCGAAACATGAGCTTTTGCTCCATGATTGATGTCCACGAGGGTAGAGCTGAACATCTATGCAAAGAAAGCTATAACAAGGCCCACAATATAGGCATTTGTGCGGTCATTGCACCATCAACCATTTCCATCACACGAAACGCCCAAAATATTCCAACATGCCCACAAGATCAGGCTCTTCGTCCCTGACAGCAGCATAAAATCAATCCATCATAATCCATCCATTTTCCAATTTGACATGGCCCTGTTTGAAATCACTTCCCAAAACCGCACCAACCCGCCGCCCGGTCTCTCCCGGTCTACTCAGGACCCACCGGTGCGAGGCACGTCGTGCGTGCTGCGGCCCGAGCCGCCGGAGCCACCGGAGCTACCGGTCTTCGCACGACAGTCCTTCACGTCGCCCGAGACTCCCCGGGTGGCTCGGTGGGGTCGGGTCACCAGCGCGGTCGGTTCACCGGTCGCACCATGAAAGGAGGCTGGACAGCCTTTTTTTGGAAGATTCTAGTCTGGTTGGGGAACAAGCTCCTTCTAAAGCGAGCCAGCAAGTTTGCGGTAGTTAGAGATATGGTTGAATATATTGTATATTATTTACTTTATATATATATATATATTATACAAAATCACTTGGTCGCCTGGCGGTTCGGTCAAACGGGTCGAAATGGGTGCTATAACACTTGGCGTATGCTTGATCTCTAGGAGCCGATTTGCGATTTGCGAGGAAGGTTCTCAAGCAGATGGCTGCGCTGCCGTCAGCAATGGTTTGCTCCTCCGACAAACGGTTATATACATCAAACACCGGCGCTCGTGCGCCGTTCGTATCCCCCCCCGGATTAATCACGCTGGCTGATCCCTGCAGCCCGCCAGAACCGGATCGTGTGGTGTCGGCTCGACCGGATCCGAGACCGGACGTTGGAGAAAGATGGGCCGCCGCCGCCCACGGCCCCCAAGGTCACAAAGCTGCAGGCCGACTTTCACAAGGCAGGTTGGAGATGGTGAGTTTGCTGCATCCCTCATTGTTACAGTTTGCTGCATTTGTGCGGCTGCACTGCACAGGTGGAGAAGGTTGTAGAAGCCAAGTTGGGTAGCTCGAAGGAGAAGGTTGCCTACATGCTTGCCACCTGGAGGTCTAACTTACAGGTGGCACCCTGCGACAATCTCCCAGCATGTCCCCCCCAAAGGAAGTCAGACATGAAAAGACATGTCCCAAGTCTACTTGGAACCGATGGAACCGCTTGGGGTGACGACCATGCTACTCGGAGGCTGTGTTCAGCGAACCATGGACGCCATGGACCCGGGTCGTTTCTGGCACCCCAATTAAAAGGCTCTTTGGTCTTCCCAGCTGCACCAGGGTCACGGCCAGTAACTCCCACCCGCCCACGGGCCCCCACGTGGGCCCGTGCGACCGTGGACTGGTAGCAAGGGACCCCGGAGGTACTGTAAGACACGAACAGGGCAGTGAAAGAGACTCTCTAAGCCTGTATGTGTGTGCAATGGTTTTTCTCAGAAAGTAGTTCGATGATCCCCGAACTACCCCAAGACGTGTTGTGCAAACGGAGCTTGTACATGTCTATTTTCGTTGGAGGGAGGGCCACCGAGGAGACAGATATGTTTATCAATGTCATGACCGTCATCATTGTGATCGATTGCGTTTGTGCTTTGGTCGCGACTGACTCTCGCGCGATGGAGACCGACCCACCCTTCTACACGGAGCTTTTATCACATCTATGCCTGGTGATCTACTCAGCTGACTCTCGGGCTGAAATCCATGTACCTTTGGTTGAAATCCATGGTGAATTTTGCGAACTTGACACATTCCAAGAGGTATTGTGTATTGTGTGGAACTGGCAAAGCTGAAGGTTGCACAAAGTGAGGTGTAGGGCCGTAGGGTTCCCACAAACCAAGCGCTCCAAGCCGTCGGGTGTTTGCTGTGCGTTCGCCTATGGCTAACGGCTGTCCCACCCAAGCTAACGAGCTTGTCGGGTGCCAAAGAAACAAGAAGACATGCTCACAGCTCATGTGACATGATTGCATGGCATGCCGCACCCATGTTTAAACCCACATGTTTTCGCTTAGACAGACCATCCTTTGAGCGAATACCCTTTTGGGAATCTTAAGAGGTTTTGCAGTGCTGATCTGACTGGGGGATTCTTTTTGGCCAGGAGTTGCTTGCGATTCTTGGACTGAAGGGAGTTGCAGCCCTGAAGCGCAAGTCCATCCTCTTTGACGCCTTCTGTGTGCTTTGCAGCTTCTTGCTGGCACCCCACCTGGGGACATGCTGCCCCGTTGTTTTTTACAGTCTCCAGTCTCCAGTGGCCAGACACTTTGCGCCATCTCCAGTGGTCAGGGTCTGGGTGGGTACACCTATATTTTCACTCACCTGTCGCTTGGACATGACATTGATTTCAACATTGTTGTGGGCGTTCCAGTGCGCAAACTCGGTCAACAAAAAACAAGGGCTGATCTCGGCGGCTGCCCATCAGCTGTCTTTCGATCGGCACAAGATCTCAAGAAGTGTCAGTACCGAAACCCTGCTGGGTAAGTCCTGAGAGACCCCTTTGACGCAGGTGCCTTAGCTGCCCTTGCAAGCAAGCAATATCAAGCAATGTTTCAAAATGTGTCAAACAACCGGCCACCCGAGTCTTGGAAGCCCCAAGCATCCAAAGCCGAGACAATCACCAACACACCTGTGACAGAGCGAGAGGCACCAGCGAGCTTGTTTATCCAAGGTTGTCAACATGTGTGATTTTGCCAATCTCAGAAACAAAGGCTCTATCAAACAAACGAACTACTGTACACAAATCAGTTTGTGAGACAACCTCACAATTTGTTTGTTATAAAAGCTCTCGTCCCAATGTCCATTTTTAGAACTGATGAGGGCATGTTTGGCAAAGCTAAATAGACGTGGGACAGCTGTTGCTGCTGCAAATTCGTCGTTTGTAATGCACTAACTTGCAAATATAAAAACTATATATATAATACTAATATGGTTTCTCGCCCCCGGGGGTAAAGAGTAACACACCTGTGAATTCTTATTCCGTAGTGTTTCGGCTTTCAGAAGGTTGGATGAGCACCTGCAACGGGTGCAACTCCAGACTAAGGAAGGCAGTTGGATCATCGGGGTACTGCGATCCCTGTTGGTTGGTCGTTCGCATAGAGCGACTTGTTTTTACAAGGTGTCCTCCGCATACAGTTGGTGATTTGGTTGAGTACCTCAAGACCGTCACCACAACACTGGAGAGGACTTGCGAAAAATTCGAAGCCGCCCGTACCGCTGGTTACGTGACTGAAGGCGGGGAGCCGATCCCTGGTGCCCGTGAAAAGGTTTTAGCCAGTCGAGCAGGAGAAGACTCATTTGAAAGGGGCATTCATTGCGGAGAGAAGGACCAGCAAGCATCTTCGACGAGCCGTCCCGGTAAAGAAAGAGCGAGAGGCAGATTCGGGGAAAGAACGTCTGGTGGACGCGAAGGAGAAGAAGCCAGGAAGGCGTGAGAGGTCCAGGAGACGCAGGAGGTCAAAGAGCAATACAAAGCGACCCAGGTCAAGGCATCGTTCAAAGCGTAAGGAGAAGAAGGACAAGTCGGGGACTCCAGACCCTGAATCCAGTGGCATCGAGACGACACCGGAGGAGAAGCCCAGGCCTTCAGCCAGGGCAGAAGAGCAGGAGGAGCAGCCAGAGGAAGAACTGGTTCAAACAGAAGAGGAGGAGCAAGACGACGCGGACACACGGAACAGGCTTGAACTCAGGCGTGCAGCCAAGCCATCGGCCCGCAAGCCGTTGCCTCGCCGACCGCGCTCGCCATCCTATTCGCCTCCAGGCTACCGTGATCGAGAGGATCAGAAGCCCAAGAAGTGGAAGGGACTCAAGCACGTCATTCGAGGACAACTTTATTACAACAGTGGGCCACCGAGAAGTAAGGGGCAAGGAAAGGGAAAAGGTAAGAGATGGCACCGAAAATGATCAGGAGGCCAGCAGCAGCGCCCAGGCGGGCGGGGGCTTTGAGGAGACCAGCAGCGCTGGAGGACGGGGTTCGGGGAGAGATCCCTGCCCTGAGAGAGGACTTGAATGTGGGGGATCTCATTTACGGCCAGGAGAGCAGTTATTTTGGGACGGCATGCCAGTTCTCTGGAAAGGTTATGGAGGAGTGGAAGGACCTTTCAGGGAAGTACTACATGGTAAGCTCTTCGGGACAGATTTGGAGGCTTTGCTGACCTGGGCGAGCGGGACCACCGGTTGCTCGGGTTCATATCTGCACACCCGATTGCGGACAAGACTCCGAAGGTCCCGGACTCCTACATTGCAAGAAGCATCGGGGCATCCGAACCCTGGAAGAGATCCGAGACCTCCCTTGGCGCGACGTGTTGGTCAGCGCAGGTCGTCGAGAGGAGGACGAGTTGGCCGGGCTGAGAAGTCGGATGGAAGACCTTCCAGCTCCTGCCGGGGCAGATCCAGGAGCAGAAGATCGTCCAAAGGAGGAAGCCCGAGAGTTGCAAGAGAAGGAGAAAAAGAAGAGGAAGAAGAAGTCAAAGAAGAAGAAAAAGCGCGCAAGGAGCGCCTCCCAGTCTTCAAGTACAAGCTCAGAAGCAAAACACAAGGCTGTCGAGCAGAAGGTGATGTTCGGGGGCAGCGGACTCGATCCCCTGAAGAAGGCTCGGAACCGCAAGAGGAGGAAGGCACAGAGGTACGCGCAGCGATCTCAGAGCAAGAGGGCAGAAAGCAAGAGCAATTCAAGCGGCGAGGAAACGACCTTGAAGTTGCAAGCCATTTTTGGCGAGCCCCAGCGAGTCAGGGCTGTCGCTCTGAGCTTCCCCGGAGTTTTATCAGCCCAGACCATCGAGAATATGCAGGAGTTGATGTTGGCAGAAGCAGGACAGGAATCCAACCAGCAGGATTGTTGGGCTCCCACGCTCCGGAAATATTATCGACAAATGCTGAGTCGAAAGGTATCTGGACCGATGAGCAGGGAACTTCATACACTATGCACGGTGGGAGATTTGATGTTACGTGGCCAGCTTCCGGAGGCCATGGACACCCTAACCCAGAGGGTGAAGTCTTTGGAAGCCCAGATCAGTGGCCTTGCGTGAACAGCTGCCCAGCGCCTGGACCTCCTCCCAAGCGACACAGCAACGTTATCTTCGAGGCAGGAGTTAAAGATAGCGACAACCGAGCAGCGGGCCGAAGCCCAGGCGCATCAAAGCGGTGCATGGTGGAGCAAAGGAACAGGCAAGGAAGGGAGCAAAGGAGAAAGGACAGAGAAAGGAAAAGGCAAGGGAAAGAAGGGGAAGGAGAAGCCGAAAAAGGATTGAGGCCTACGTTCAATTTGCTGGTGACCCCTGAGGGTCAACATCCTGAGTTTGCGGGGCATTTGAACCCTGTGGAAGCCAGGACGGGCCAGGCATACAGCTGTACAGTTGGAACGGGGGTGGGGGTCCCTGTGAGGAGTGGAGATGGTCGGGGCGAAAGGCCTGGGTATGATGATGACAAGTGTATGACGACTGGTGGCGCTATTTTCAAGGAGCTGACGCCAATCGCAACAAGGCCTGGATGGCCACATGGGGGCACAACGAACAGTGCAGATTGTGGCACGGGGCGATGGTCCCTGAAAAGAGACCGGGTGGATGAACCATTCCCGTTCCCACCTCCTGCTCCGATCGTTTTTCCCTTAGGGACGTCGGACGGCTTGGCACCGAACAAGGCTGTGATCGAGCTGAAGATGCCCCTGGTACAGTCGGGGTCCATCCCCGCGGACCTTGGAGGTTCGAAAAAAGGAGTCTGTGGCATGCGATTACAGGAAATGGGAAGTATTCTGGGCGAAAGTTTACAAGAGGTTATGTTGCTCTGCAGCCAGCCCACGGGAGGGGAGAGTAGAGTAGGAGTGCATTTGAAGCAAACTGACACCTTTCCTCTTCCAAGCTTCCAACCCTCCGTGAACTTCTTTCGCCCTTATTGTCAGAGGAGCACGCATGGACCGTTGATTGGTTGAGAGGGATTTGTATTGCATTGAATTCATTTTGGGGGTGCCCAGATCCAACACTTCAGGAACAACATCGTGCAGACGATCGGCCAGCAGTTTCCAAGATGCAGTGCCGAATCCTTCGGGGGCTGGCAAACGATGTGGCTAGGCTGAAGGAAGTACAGGAGGTTACGGAGTCATTCGATTGGGTGATTTCTTTCGATCGCGTACTATCGACTACAAGGGAGACGGTGAAGACAGCGTTAGGGTTCTGTGGGAAGAACATTGAGCCGGCCCTACCAAAAGAGATAGGTGTGGCTAGGTTAGTGGACATCTGCGATCAGGGGTGCAGGCACTACATCGAGAATTTCCCCGCCTCAAAGCACCAAGTGACTGGGGGCCCCTTAGGAAATCTCGGGTCATGGTCAGAGACGAGGACTGGTTTGACGTGGCTCATGGATTGTTGGGTGCGGGGGTCTTTGGAGTAGTCCCTGAGTCAGAGGTATTCAAAGTCGGCACTAAATTGTTGCTCAATGGACTCTTCGGGGTTGAGAAAAACGAAGAGTCACAAGGGGTGCCTATATACCGCCTGATTATGAATCTGATGCCACTCAATGACCTTTGCCAAGGGCTGGCGGGGGACATACAAACACTCCCGCACTGGTTTGGTATGTCACCTTTCCACATTGAAGCGCACGAAAACTTAGTGGTTTCAAGCGAGGACTTGCGGTGTTTCTTCTACACCCTGGCTCTGCCCCCTTGCTGGTTCCCCTTTCTGTGCTTCAACAAGCCCTTGCCAGACAGCCTGGTCCCTCCAGAGCTGCGAGGGGAGGTTTGCTACCCTTGCTCAAAAGTATTTCGTATGGGATTTCTTAACAGTGTTGTAATCGCTCAGCCCCTCAAGTCTCCTTCTTGCTCTCCTGCGGCTGATGTCGATAAGTCGATACCTAAAACTGCTGACAGGATTGACTCATGGATCACCGCGGTGAGGCCCAATGATTGGACTCCGGACATTCCCCCGAAACTGATTTCGTGTCAAAAAATCCAACAAAACCTGAGAACCGGACAAAAGTTGGCTGGGAACCTTGTTCAAATTTGGAATCTTTCTCAGGTTGATGTGTTCATTATGGAAAACTTATGAAGACCCAGCTCCCATGACCTGTCTTCTCTGTGGAGACGCCAAAGAGCGGACTGGAGCACTTCACACTAGTCAGCGTCCAAAGGAAACATTGGGGCTCCAAGCTTGAGTCCATAGCTTTGTGTAAAGTAGGTACCCAACAGGGGCCATGGATTCCTCAATCGACTAAAGTCGCGAGGGACAAAGTCCCTCAGGTTGAACGCATGACGGTCCGAGTCGCGGCCCCTTTTGACTTTCGCACGAGATTCCTTCCACAAGGCCACCTTCAAGACTCTCCTACAAATGTTATA